CCAGAACCGGCTGTGACTCCTGAGCTGGGCTTTCTGGTCACCCGTCACTGGGGTATCTGTTAGAACCCTCAACCCTCCCACTTCCCTGGTTCTTGTCACGCAGACAGCGAGCAGCAAAAGACCAGACGTCCGAAGCACAGACAATGTGATGTTTATTGGGGTTAGTTTCCAAGCCCTTCACACCAGTCGGGCTTATCTCCATACACCGATAGTGTCTGTTCCCCAGTGTCCCCTTCCCGGCTCTGATTCCGCAGAGCATTTACCCTGCGTCCCCTTTCCCAGCTCTGACATCGCAGAGCCGTGCCTGTGTCCCTGTACCCCGTTCCCTATATTCTGTTCCTGTTCCTGCCCCCTCCCTGTTAGCAAACGTGATTCCAGTTTCCCTTCCTATTTCCTGTTTGACCCCAGTTTATATAGTAATATTCTCAGCTATACCTTAACCAATCATTTTACTGAAATTTAACTAACCAATATTAACCACCTCGTTAAACTAGTAACACCCAGGGAAACTGAGTCCCATCCCCTCTGCATGCAAACCATTGAAAAAAACAAGAAAAAAAAAGAACTCTCCTCACTTCATCACAGCACCCCCTGGAGGTAAAACACCCCGATGCTAAGCTCCACCGAGCTTGAGGCCCGAGTGTGAGCTGAATGAGGAACTGTGCCGGGGGCTGCAGCCCCAGGAAGCCCGTGATGCACTCGGCCCCTTTCTTCCCATCAGATGGTTTCTCTGCAATCTCAAGCCAAATCTACCGCGGTCAGAGCAAAGCCAGCTCCCTGCAATGCCCTTCAAACCACATCCCCTCCGGCAGCTGCTCAGCCCCCCTCCCATCACCTCCCAGCCCCACATGGGAGCTGCCCAGTCTGGGGTCCAGCTGGGAAAGGGGGAATCTCAGGAGATGTCAAGAGGTGTCCAGGCCACCCTGACCTTTTCCAACAGGCCCACCTAGCCTCCGTCTAGCAGCTCAGAGCAGAGGAGGGCACCCCCCCACACACACAGTGCCCACCACAGAGCGACCCTCTCCCATGGAGCAGGGCAGAGATTCCTTTCTGACCCGGCAGGGCCCAGCACTCATCCTGGAGCATGAGGAGGGACCTGGCCAACCTCCTTCTCAGGGAGTGTCGCTGTAGATGCTGTTCATAGCCAAGTAGCGTGAGACAGAGACTGAACAGAGGGGTGGGAGGTTGTGGTTTCCGGCCCCCGCAATCGGACAGGGGAGGG